AATGATGGAGAACCGACATTAACATTCTAGACAATGCAAAGTGTAGGCATTTATAGTCTCTCAACTCAGCGAAACGCGGATACCCACAGTTCCCGAATTGTCCTGCTACACCGACATTCCATCTAGTGAAAGCTCCATTTCAGCAAGCAGCCGTATTTGACTGCTCTGCAGGAGTCTTTATCCCAGCTGGAACTCTGCAGGGCTGCCACTAAGGGCACAGGAGGGTTCCCCTTGCACCCCGGAGGCCAGCTTTGCTCTGCTCCCTGCTAGCCTAGTCCCTGCTCTAGCCCAGCCATCGCAACCTGAGATTTTGAGAAGCTGTCCAGAGATCTGGCACTTCATAAGCTCTCCCTATGACACTGTTCCTCGGAGTTTGCTACGACAGTGTCAGTTATTTGGGTTTGTGCTAGGAGAGCTGTGGCACAGAGAACCCTCAGCTGTGTCCACGTACCATTTTTTGGAATCCTTTCCAGACTGGCAGCACAGAAGGGGTGGAATATATCACAGATTTGGCCTGACAGCCTGTGAAACTGGCAAGGAGCGGTTGCCGAGTCTGCAGCTAGAGAAGGATCCAGAGAAAGCATGATCACGCTGCCAAGGCTAGAATTGTGTAACTTGTTGCTAAATTCATATACTCACTAAAAAGGAATACATTTTTCTATACATTGAGGTTCAAAATAATTGGTTTAAAAATCACTTTAGAAGATAGTAACATCATATTAGCTTACAGAACCTGTTCTGCCAAATTAAAGCTAGTCTAAGACAGAAGGAAAATAAAAATTATGAATGTTTTACATTAATAGTTTAATTACCCTAATCTCACTGCAGATTTCCTAAGGCACAGAAGCTTTATTTGAAAATGAACCTAGAGCAACCCTCCCTTCAATCTGGTTTTGCTGGTATGTTTTCATATACAGACCCAAAAATCCATGCAGCAGCATATCACAAATGCAACATATACTGACTAGCACTTTGAGCAGATTACCAACTGTTTGTACTGAAATAATACAATGTGGCAGTAAAGACTACCACAGCTTTGTCATAATTTTTCTCCCACATAAACATGCAGATCATATTTTCAATCTTAGGAAAAATATATTCAATTCTTCAATTCTTCCTGCATCAGTTAGTCTCATGCTTCACTGATGCTGATCACATAACATCAAAATTAAACTTCACTATTATGTCCATGGTTTTTCAGTTTGCAGTTGTATATTTATTACAAACAAAACCCTGAGGAATCTGTTGTGTCATAAGAAATACATCACTGAAATGCATACAGTACAGAATTCATCCCTCCTATTTACCAAGCACGCAAAGCAATATTTATACTGCAGATGTTTTCAAATGTAGTTTTATTCCAGTGACCTATTTGCAGTCTTCACATACATTTCAAAACAACATTATGCAAACATATCACAGGACAGTACTTAAAGAATCTTTAGTATATATTCCTTTATAAAAGGTTTTGACACAATGAAAAAGTCAGTCCAGAAAAGCTCACGTTACCAGGTTTCTTGATAAACAAAATACCATGAAGCCCCGTAACCTGCATAAGCACAAGTATCCATCACAATAGATCCCTCTTCTAAAACCCTCTTTTAAATAAACAGGTTTAAATTTTGTTCAGTAGATGAGTTTCTATCACGACACTGTCCATTTAATTTTGTGCTTTCCAAAAGGCAAGCATACTACAGAAATAAAATTCCCTACCCGATAGGAGAGAACTTCAGTAAACATGTATTTGTTTCCCATTCCAGCAGAAGAATCCAAGTTCATTGAAATCCTCATTATGGCTAAATCCAGCGTGCTCTGCTTATAACTTCTTCTTCTTGGTCTGCTCCCCAGCGTCTAGTTTACGTTTCTTAGCAGAAGCTGGTTCGTCATCTTTTTCACCATCTTTAAATAAAAGACAGAGTTAATCAAAGTCAGCAAAGCCAGTATCTGCCTTAAACATCATCCTCATCTCAGAACAACTGACTTAACCACATCTGAGACACCTGGAAAAAAGATGGCAGTGTAACTGACAACATCCTCACTTCTGGAATGTGGACAATTTGTAGACAGAATAGGAATGATTACTTGTTACTACTACCACAGACCACTGAAGATAACTACAAAGAGGCCTTGTTATGCTATTGTACAGTACCTGTTCAAAAAAAAAAAAAAAAAAGTTATTTGAATAGGTAAGACTAAAAGCTAGAAAATTACATTTTAGAAGCAGGAAGTAATGTCAAGGTGAATTAACAGTTTGTTTTCTCAGTCTTTGGATGAAGACTGGCTAAGAGAAACGTATGGGGGGAAAAAAAAGCATAGAGAACAAATGAAGCAAGACAGAGACAGGAAAACTACAACTGGGGAAGTAACACTCAGAACAAAAAGGAGCAAGACAGCAAACCCCTTCCTTTTGGAAAGGTTTGCTGACAACTTTACTGGTGAACCAAAGTATTATTGTGTGTTCTAAAAGACCAGAATTTCCTGGGGTTTTGGGTTGGATTTTTTTTTTTGTTTGTTTGGTGTTTTTTTTGTTGCTGTTGTTGTTTTGGGTTTTTTTCCTTTCTTTCTTTCTCTTGGTTCTTACTGGCTGCTCTCTTTTTCTAACAGGTTTGTTGTTGTTTTTTTTTTTTTTTAATAACTCCTCCCTCCTACCAAATATTTCTTTACTTCCTAGATTACCACTACAGCTTGCACCACGATTAAAAGTGAAGAGGATAGTAAATATTTTCTTCAGTAACCTGTCACAAAGACATTTTATTTAGTTCCCCTCTCGGCCACCAAGTTTTCCAAACATTATAAAAATAACCTGACCTACACCTAGACCTAGGGTCAGGACAGCAGCACTTAAAGAAGCTCTTGTACCACTTTCTGTTTTAACGGCACCACCACCGGACCCGCTCATTTGATACAACCACACCTCTACAGGCTCTTTCCTCATGCCCTGCTACCGACAGTGGACGGGGAGCGGAGCGGTTGCTGCAGAGTCTCACTCAATTCTGTAACGCCCGAACACAGGCCCTGAGGCCGGGCCGCGGCTGCAGCCAGCTCCGGCTCTGCCCTCCAGCGGGGGCCGCCGAAGGGGCTGGCCGAGCCCCCCCGCAGCGCTGGGCTCGCCTCGCACCCCCCCCCAGCGCCCCCACGCCAACCCGAGCAACGCGGGCCCGCGCAAAGCGCGGCAGCCTCACGGCAGGTCCCTCACGGCAGGTCCCTCACCCGATTCCGGCGGTTCCCGCTCCTCCTCCGGCAGAAACCCGGCCTGGCCGGCCGGCCGGGGCGCGTCCTCGCCGTTGTCCTCGTAGATGTTGGACCACTTTATGGCCATGTCGAGGGCAGGGGGCGGCGGGGGCTTCTTCTCCGGCGGGCTGTAGCTCTCCGGCGGGGGCACGGCGTTGCTCTTCCACACCCTGAACTCCTTGGGGGGCTGCGGGAGAGAGCGGGGCACCCGTCACCGCGGGCCTCGGCGCCAGGCGGCCCCCCGCCCCCCGAGCTGCCCCCCCGCGTCCCCCCCCCCCCCGTCCCTCGCACCTCCTCGGGCGCCCGCAGGACGCGGCTCTCCCAGTCGATCTGCTTGTTGAGCGGGTTGTAGAGGAAGGCGGGCGGCTGCGACACCCTACGGAAGAGCTCGTCGGGCGGCGGCAGCCGCGGCCGCCGCCCCGGGCTGCCCCCCGCCGCCGCGCCGCCCCCCGCCTGGCGCTCGTCGGGCCGGGGCTCGTCGGCCTCCGAGTCGGAGCTGGAGCTGCCGTAGGCCGCGAAGTAGCCCAGCGGGTCCTCTCCCTCCGCCGCCATGGCGGGGCCTGCCGCCGCCACGCCGCCCGCACGGAAACCGGGCCCGCACCGAGGGTTCCGGCCTGCCCCCCGAGCCCGGCCCCCGCAGCCCCGCCGGCCCCGGCCGGGCTCCGCGCTGGCGGCGGGAGGGGCGGCCCGGCTCGCCCAGGGAGAGGGGGCCAGCGGCGGGAAGAGGTGGCACCGCCGGCCGTGCCGCGGCCGCCCGGGGAGGCCGCGCTCGCCCCCGCCAGCCCCGGGATTTTTTTCCCCCAATCGGTGACCGCAGACGGGTACAGAAAATCAGACACGAAATTGAGACGACCTCCCTTTCTCCCTTTTCGCACCTGCAGGCCTACCTAGGGAGAAAACACGTTCCCCTTGGTGTTTGAAGGGCAGCGACCCAGGGCAGATAAAGCTCTGAACAACAGTGCCTAGCCCAGGATAGCTGAAGCAGTCACAGAGGCAACCTTTACCAAAACAGATTTTTCAGAGCTGTTGGGAAAAGTTCGTACTAGACTTCTCCGGTCAACAAGGTCCACAGAACTGTTTTTGCATCAGCTAAAATACTTACTAGCACCGTTCAGGTTACTTACAGTAGCAAGGAAGCGGGATAAGGGCTTTCATTATAATATGATAAATTCCTTCCTTGGAAAGATAGTAAACTGGGTCCAGCTGATCTCTCGTAATCAGTACTATAATCATTATTTTGAAAGAAACTTGACACACAAAGTACAATGAAAACAAGCGCTGAAGTGAGCCTCCATGGACCCTGCACCATTTGCAAATCCTCTTCTGCTCACTCCTCAGCACTCAAAGGTTTTGTTGCTCCTCCACTACTTATTTTTTTTTAAAGAATGAAGTCAATGAAGTATGCATGGCTGGAAGCAACACTTCTCACATTCTTAAGAAGCCAAGCAATTGACTAATTTGAAAAAACAAAACAAAACAAGAACCAGGTTAGCAATACTAGTCATGAACCACAGAAAGTGTAGTTAAGCAGCCGAGGTCTTAATTTCACATGCATGCTTTCCCTCTACACTGCTCTTGAATGCAGTCTTACAAGGCACAGGTGTTTCACAGTAAGTCAGTCATCCACCAAAGACAAACCTCTCTTATAAGACAAGAACAAAAGCCTCCTGAACACACAAAACCAGAACCACACACGCAGACACTGGCATGAACTGCTCTTACAACCTATACATTTCAGTAATGAGAGAGGCATATGGGAAAACAGGCAATTATACAAAAAACTTTATTCCAAAAGGGATAAAAACATTTCAATTAAAAAAAAAAAAGGATGTACATCATAAATGTTTGGTAAGATAATACATTCACGTAAAGTCTCAGGTTACTAGGCTCCACGGCAGGAGCAATCCCTGCAGAGGCAGGCATCCTGCGGGGTGCACTGGGGCAGGCAGCACACCCCTCGCCAGTCTGGATTTAGATCTGCAAAGCAGTCCTCACCCTGAGCTATCCAGTTAAGGCCAAGCTTGCGCACTCTCCTCCGTTTACAAGAATCCAAGAAGGGACCCAAACCTAAGCACAGCTCTAAGTGGTTACAGTGGGCATTTAGACAAATCAATTTTCAGATATCCTCAGAAGGCACAACTACAGTTCAAGTTAATGGAAGAGAGGGATTTAAGCCTACCCTTAATTTCATGTTAGAGAGCAAAATTTTGTTAGCATATTTAGGCAAATAACTTCAAGAGTGCCCTCTGAACAAAGCAGTTCTGTTGAAAATAATTTTCACTGTCCTGACAGTCCATGACCTTACATGTATACAAGAAAAACAAGGATCTTCATAAACACTAAACTGCCCACATATTTATCATATATAAGCTATTAATATACTAAGTATGGAGTGTAGTTGAACTTTGAAGTTTATTTTAAACTAATTCCAAAACCAGAGTAAACATGAAAAAAAAAAAATTAGACACTGTACTGAGGTCCTACAGATGGCCTGCCTCCACAAAAGGAGAACACAGTTTAGGGATATTACCTGGGTTTGAATTTCAATGGAATTACATGGCTATAGCACTGTGTGAGAGCCAAAATAATTTAAAGCCTTAAATTCAAACCTACCCTTTGATATACTGAAAACATCCCATCACTTTAAAGTGTAGTACTGCAGAACAGAACTGTACACATTTACAAGTAGGAGATTGTCTTTGCCTGGTAAATTTAAAGTGATTATAGGCCAACTTCATAAAAAGTAGATGACAACTCAAGAGTGGAGTAGGAGAGGAATACAGCATGTTACATTGTGTCAGGAAATGAGAACCTTCCCATGTTGAAATAGTTTAAAATGCATTTGACTCTAAACAATTTGAAATGTAAACCTGTCTATCTGCTTTGAAGAGTAGGTATCTGAAGTGCAACATTTCCAAGAGTCCTTCAGGTACGGATACTTTCTTGCTACAGGACTCCTCCACTACTTACCTACTGGGACAAAACATACAAACTTTGCTCCTTAATAGCATTATACAGTAACATTTTCTTACAGCCCACATGATTCTGTTACAGCAGTTTACATTCCTCTTCCAGCACTAAGGAGAATTTATATTTAAAGTGCATCTCAAATCAGAAACCTCTAAGTTATACACAAGAATAATATGCTAAGACTTGTAGACGTATATTTTTTGCTAAATCAAATCACTGCGATACTGAGTGCCTTTTACTAGCAGGACAAAGTTCAGACAATTAACAGACTTCTTGAAAATAAACACAGCTACAGATTTGGCCAGATTTGGTTTTATGGTGTTGTTTTTTTTTTGTTTGTTTGTTTGTTTGTTTTTTGTGTTTTTTTTTTTTTTTTCTTCTCACAAATGGAGTTTCACACATATATAGAGGGCAGAGTTTATCCTACAGTGAAACACTGAATTTGGTAATGAGTTTAAGCTTTTTGATATGTAAGCCTAAGCTTTTAGTTCAGAAAGTTATTTTTCAATACTCACTACTTTTCCTAACCACCCTCTCCAATTCACCTGTAACAGACACATTAAGAAAAGTGTATTTGCTTGTTTCTGTAAGGGAAAAAAAACAAACAAACAAACAAACACCACATTTGTTCTATAACTGCAACTAAATGTGAAATCTTAAATACGTTGGTTTAAAACCCCAACTTTTGCTGGTATAATAGCATGACCTTTTGAAAAAAGCTCCTTAACGAACATAAGACCAAACAGCTCCAGATTCACCCAATTACAAAAAAATTACTCCTTTAAAACAGTAAAATGGCATAGATTGTTTCTTCTGATTTTGCTAGTTAACAGTTTGAAAACATTTTTTAAACCTTTATAAGACATCACACAAAATTTCAGTACTATTTGGATGAACAGACTACAGTCACTATGTTCACTGTGGTTGAAGAGAACGTGATCGTAAAGGCAAAAAGCAATTGTCACTTGAACTAGTACATGGTTCTTGCTGCTCTGACTGGAGTTCTGGGGGGAGAGGGGGTGCACCGGGGTCTCCAGGCCCTGGAAGGGTGGCTGAGAAAACAGCACACTCTGCATTTCCCATCTCTGCAATTGGCAAATTCATTGAATGAAGAGAGACAGCAGACACAAATGCGGCAGTGCTATAATCTTCCTCTGGATGATGTATCTGAGTAGATTCTTTGTCTTTTGTTTTATCAAAAAAATTAGATTCATCAGAATATGATCTAGAAAGATTATTTGTTCCTCCATACAGTGAGGTCATACAGGTGCTGCAGCTTAGACCTAAGACAAAAAACAGAGACTGGATTTAATTATGATATGGTGCACTCTTAAAACTCTGCTCTGATTTAGTATCAGCAAGATTGCCAAAGATTGATTGTCTGTGTTTTTAACAGACCGCTTCAACTCACCTATGACATTCCAGTATTCATGACAAATTTAAAAAATACATGTGCGTTATCTAGGCTGATGTGAACCATTTCTCTGTATCTCTGTATCAGCTACTGTTTGACAAAGACACACCATAATTTAAGCTTCATTTTAGGAAGTCACTTTAGCCTTTTGACCCATCTTTTGATAGATTTTTCTCACTGTATTCTCCAAACTTTTTAAAGCTTCAGTTACATGGTTCTACTCCAAAGGGGACTGCATTTAACGGCTGTTTAACCTGAAGTCAGAGAAAACTTCAGGCCTTTCATCTCTAGTGTTAAAATGTACTTCTTCCTTCTTTATTGCTCTTTTGATGGGTGTGGAAGAGGAAGTAATGTTTTTGGTTTAGAATGATTATACTTTATCTGCCTTAAAATATGAGTACGTATGGTCACTTCAAGCTTTGTGTGTCAACAAAACATCTCTGCCTGTATGAAAAGACACATGCATACATTTACCATGTCTAATTTTCAGTTTCGGCATTGAAGGCATACAGGGGAATTTCTGCTAAGGTGACAAGTGTAACAAAACCAGAGCATCCTGCCACTGCAGTAAATCGCTTCAAGAGAAATGCAAGATAGAAGATAAACACCTATTTTGAGTTCTGAACTAGAACCTTGTAGGAAGCAAAACTGAAATGTGAAGACAGACTTATCCATCATAACAACATGATAGGGTATTTTTGCAATTTGTTATTGATGATGTGTTCAGATAGTAGAGAGGCAAAGTCAGGATACATGCACTAGGATCTCAAACCCAAAGAGGGGATTTTTCCAAGAACATTGTCCCAAACACTAGAGGAAGCAAAAAAAATAACCTAAAACCTGTATGAAGAAACATGACTTAAAGAATTGCTGGTGTTTAATTTTGCAGACCCTCAAAGTCAAACTTATATCTTACAAAATATTATAAATTTCTCACCTTTGAGAGCTTCAAGTTTTTCATTTTTGACTTTCAATACTACGTCAGTTATCTTTTGTAACAGGAAGTTTTGTGTTCTTTCTCGTCTGATAGATTCAATCAAAGCATCTAGTCCCTTTGGGTTTTCTGCTAAGTAGTCCAATAACTTCCCTGTTTTCTTCCTACTGGAAGATCGAGAAGAAATTTCTTCTGTGTCCTCTCTAGTCAGTATTTTCTTTGAACGTAGGTAATCAAAGTGTCTCTCAGCTATGATTTTATCACACAGGTAGGGACGCATTCTTTCTAAAGCCTGAAAAACAAAATAAACTAGTATTAGCCAATCTTTCCATTTATTTAGAAGCCTGTGTTTGAAACCTATATGATTTTGATACAGGTTAATAAAACAATTTTGAAAGCTTTCAGCATGTTACCTGGCAGAGATTTTTCTCAGTGTAAAAAAATACTTAAAACCCCCAACACAAACATTATCCGGTTTACTTAACCCTTTCATTAGTGTTCTTAATGCATGTTAAGTAATAAGGTGAATTCTTACTGAAAATGTTTGTTACATTAAGTCTGTGTTTATCACTTTTAGAACAGTCACCAAGTAAAAATGATAAGAAATTATACCAACAAAACACAACAGCACCTACTCACTTTGTCTACAGATACACTCATTCTCACTGACTACCCGGTTGCCACACTTCCATACTATTTCTATCCATGTGGTACAACTCCAAATTATTGCAATTATTGATTTTTTTTTTTTGGTACATTAAATAAAAGCAGTCGCAGAGCAAAGGCATGAATATATTCACTGTTTAAAAGGTTTGTTAAACAAACACCACTATTTACAAGTTCAGCAAGTTACTGGTGTCCAAAATACATGCTCTTTCATCCACAGACATACCTACTCTCAACAACTTTACTAGCTGCTTTTTGTCTTCATCCAACTGCCTTCCTTCAGTTTAAGATTTTATATTAAACATCTGAAGCAACTTGCAGGCCTCTAACATGCTGCACAGACCACTCAGAGTTAGCGCAACTCTGGCCAAAGCAAAATGACTACTCTCTGCAGCATCACCTCAGCTTACAAGGCTAAACTGTTTTCTTAAGTCCTCTCTGTAACCAGCAAGAAGAAAGAGGTGGAACAGTCTGCCCATGGGAGGGGACTCCATCCATCATCTAAAGATCCTAACATGCAGTTCACATTGGGTATGATGAAGCACCAACTTCTGCCTTGAGCATTTCAGTGCTGCTCTGCATCTTCAGGAACTGTAACACCTCCTACCAGATCACATTTTTCCAGAGATCTTCTTCCTAGGGAAACATGCTATCTTTTCTCACGATATTCAATTCTAACTATTTCAGAGGTAATTTTATAGAAGCAATGTCAGAACTGAAGACTGCCATGTCACTTTGGCTTCTTCCTTGGAAAACGAAATGTCCTCTCCTACACTGACTGATTTATTTTTACAGTTATTGAAACAAAAAACTACCTTCCTCCACCTTGTTCAGAGAAAATAAACAAGCACAGACATCGATAAACATAAATTATATTAATCTTATTTCAATCTGTACATTAACAAGCCTGCTTAATATCAACACTGAAATAGAATTAATGCCTGTGTTCACAACTCTCTGGTTTCAATATCTACTACTCCGTGAAGATAAGAGCCACAAATGACATCTCTGTGCTTCAAAAACAATTTCTCATTTTATGTAAAACTACAAAACTGGCAGTTTCCCCCCCCACAACATATTTCACTATGCAGAATTACACAAGAATTCATCCCCACTAGGTGATGTGAAAAAACTACCCCTTGTAAAGTCTCGTTTGATTAAAAAAAAAAAGGAAAAGAAATATATTTGAGAGCCAGAAGCAAAAACACCTTTACATACAAGACGTGTGAAGAGATGGAAAGAAACAAAAGTTCTTTCCTGAAGAAAGTTTTCAAATATCCTCCTGCTTTTTGAGATTAGATTTCATAACAGTGGCATTTAAAAATCAAAATTTAAAAATGACTCTTTGCCTTGTAGCCATTTACTAGCTCAGTAAATAGAGATGGAGGAAAAGCTAGATATAAGGACGCACTTTAGGACAGATTATTTCAAACAGCAAAGTACTGTCTGGCATACTGGTGCTTGGGAAGGCACCAGTAACTCTTAAAGAAAACACTTCTCCCCTAGGTATAGCAGAGGATGTATTCTTCTAGTTGCTCTTTAGGATTCAACAAATACAAATCAACAAACAGCCTGCAGTTACACAACTGTTAAAGAAACATTCGATGAGCACGCATGGAAGATAAAGGAAGGCTTTTGGCAGTAGACTATGACCACTAGATTGAATACAACGTAAACCCCAGAATGGAAGGTGCAGCTCCATGGTGGCCAATTTCAGTGCAAAGAACACTCCCCCTGCATGGCAGCTGGGTGTTCCTACCCCTTCCCTTGTTCTGGTGGATGAGAAGATCCAGTCAACAAACTGAATTGGCGCCTTTTTTTCCCCTCCCACAGACAGATTAATTACCCGATCCAGTTTAATGTGCAGTCACATTGGCAGTAGTGGTGGAACAACAACTATGATAAAAGCAGAAAAGTGCAACAATACAGCTTATATCAATTTAGGTGGCTCTGGAATATATCTTAAGTGTCCAGTTGCAACAAGACCATGCCTGAATGGTTACGAATATAGCAGGCAATACAGATTTCTTCAGTTCTCATGGAAATCGCATCCTATCACCAGGAGGATCAAGCAACAAACTCTGAAATGTAAGTCAGACAATGTTTCAACATTAAAAGAATAGAGTTGTTACTGAATAGAAAGACTATTGTGTTTTGACTAACATCTTCCTGTAATGAGTCTTTTGCTGTCTAAAGCGTATCAGTTTTGAATTCCCCTCTGCGCTGTTCTCATAGGTTAACCGTTTATGAGGGACAGAAAGAGTAAACACATTAGAACAGAAGCTTTAAATGTAGTATGCTCAACACTGATGATTTTGTATGGCTCACTGCCTCCTTCCCAGCTCTCAAATTAAAGACTCCAAAATCTGTAATTCCTCCTCAGGAGACATTTACCCAGGCCAAGTTATCCCTGCAAGTTAGCTTTCTGCGGTGTGATGTCACACAGTATACACAGAACTTCTAGTAACGCATCACTTCTGTTTACTTGAACAGCTTTGAAACAAGGAAGTGAGTTTACACTAAACCAGCATTTTTTATCGTGAATCCACATTTAAAATCTGAGAAAAGAAGCCCTAAAGTGAGATTTATTGGATTGTATTTTTATGATAAAACTAATGTTATTTCCTTCTACACACTAGGCTTCCATCCAGTCCTTCAATAACTATGGGAGACCCTATAAGGGTCAAAGCAGCATACATGCACTTCTGCGAGATGCAGCTGTGAATTCAGCCACTGACGCAGATGGACATATACATCATGTTATATATATAGTCTGATTTAAGTAATTTCTGTGTGTGTGTGTGTGTGCGCGCGTAACTACTGGATGCTACCTACTGCAGTATTACCCTGTAATTCCACAGAAACAAGTAATAACTTGAAAAACATGCCTCACAAAACTATGACAAAGCATTTAAAGACAATTATGTATGAATAAAGCTAGCAAGAAACCAAAATTGAACTCCAAACATTCTTTATTGTACTTTAAAAGGAAGATAAAAAACTAAATCAGCCAAGCATAACACACTGTAAATTACAAACAGAAGCATGCATGGTCAATCAGTAATTGATAAACTGTGATTTTTTTTTTTTTAATTAATCAATCACTTGTTGAGGTTGGTTAGCACATTGCTTGCTTCCCAGTCTAGCAAAGTGACAAATAAATACAGCCTGAATCAGTATGAAGGCTTCCCTCAGATTCCAGATATCGGTGAATATGGGGGGGGGGGGGGGGGAGAAATCAGAAAAGTATATAAAAAGCCTCAAAAAAAAAATCAGTATTGAATCCATGCTCTGTAAGGGGGAATGCTCCTGACACCGAGAGAAGCACGCACATTTGCAGCTAACCTTTGGATGCCCCACCCCTTACCCACCGCTCCTACTTCGCGCGGGGGGAGCCCCCCGCTCGGGAGAAAACGAAAGAACACGGAACCTGCAGGTGATGCCGGGCCGGCGGGCTCGGCTGCCGCAGCTCACGGTCGCCCTTGCACCGGGCGGCCGCGCCGCGCCCCTCCCGCCCCCGCGGGAAAAGGCGGCGGGGAATTCCGCGCGGCGCGGCGGGGCCCGGCACGGCCCGGCGGCCTCCGGCGTCCCCCGCCCCGCCCCGCCCACCCGCGGCTCCCCCGCCCCGGCCCCTCGGCCCAGCCCGCCACTTACATCCTTCTTCACCTCGGCCATCTCGTCCTCCGTCAGCGGCCGCCCCGGAGCCGCCGACCCCGACCCCGGGCCCGGGCCCTCCATGGCGGAGCCGCTCCGCCGACGGGGAACACCGCCCAGGGCAGCGCTTCCGGCCCGGGCCCCGCCCGCCCAACCAATAGAGAGCCCCCTCAGGGGAGGCACCCCGCCCACACGGCGGCCCCGCCCAGCGGCGCGTGCGCGGGGGCGGTGGGAGGGGGGGGGCGCCCGTTCCACCTCCCTCCCCTCATCCCGCGGGGCCGCCGTGGGCGCCCACGGACCCCGAGGAGCAAACCCTTAAAGAAAGGGCAGAGGGCGAAACGCCACTAATTGGCATTCTCTCAGCCGTCAAAGGTAAAACCTGGGCTAGTGCTGCAGCCTTGGAAACGGCGTCTCACGGGAAAGTGTAAAGTAGAAGCCATCAGTGCTGGGCTTTGCTGTCAGTAAGGCAAACTGCCAGTTCTACGATATTTTGCAAAGGCCTTTTGCTGGATATGGCTTGTTAATGTAATCGTACTTCAACTATGAACAGCAGTGATACCTATTTTACAATGCAAGCATTCCCAGCTTTTCAATAAACACTGGATAGCAAAGGTCTTGCCCAGAACATTTTAAAAAAGTAAAGGACTGGTTACTGTTCTTACCTGGTGACAGGGCTGGTTTCTGTAGAGCTGGGCGTTAAAATCACAGCCAGTTCCCAAACTGGCTGCCAGAAAACACCCAACCAACTCTGATCCCTGCCACTGCAATGAAGGTGACTTCTGCCCCGTGAAAACTCCTTCAGACTCGCCCTCGCCATCCAGCCCTGCAGACCTAGCCGCTGGCTGTTTGGCAGCATGCACCTGCTCACAACCCAAATCCTTCTGTGGTGTTACTCCCACACCAAGAAGCCTTTGCTTGCTGGAGCGCATTTGAATTTCTCAAAGCTGCCGAAGTATCTGTGAATTAAACATCCAAAATATCAAGTAAATGAGTATTTATCTCCAGTTTTTTTTGCTCAGAGGGCTGCAAGGCAGGACATTTTTTTCAAGTTCAAGTGCCTACATGGATCTACCCTAAGCTGTGCTAGGCACCCAAATACCTGGAAATATTTTAGATTCTCTTGATGCTTCCAGTGAGCTGATTGTGGCGCTTCTCAGCCAGGCATCTTCCCAGCCCCTGACTCCTGTCCTTGTTAAATAAACCAAATGTCTTCCAGCTCCTCCTCTTCAGGATGAATCATATCGTAGACGTTGTTGGCTCTGTACAATATTGCTGATAAAAAATAGCTATCATGCATTCTGGATTTAGAGTATTTGTTAATAACCTTGCTCAGTGAGAGGTGCAGTTCAAAGCCATGTGATGTCTGGAGGGTTAGGCTTATGGATTCCTGAGCCATGTAGGAGACAAACCAAAATGAATTAATTTCAGCAATCAGGAAAAGAGCATGTGGTTAGAGAATACAAGAATAGAATATATTTTAGCAGACAATGCCAATACATGCTAACAGGATTTAATGGTCCAGGCAGCTGGAAGAAGACTACTCTCCACATGAAGCTCATTGCAGGAGGTTAGCATCAGTTCAATACTAAGAAGTGAGCCTCAATGAAAGCTGAGTTAGAGGTAATTTCTTTCAAGGGAGCTGGGAAGATTTTGGAGACTGCTTTGGTTTTGTGAATATGTACATATGTAAGGTTCATCTAGAATAAATTTCTAGAGTAAATTTCCAAATAAGTTTTGAAAATTGCTTACAACCCATAGCTGTTCAAATCTTTCACCATACTGGTCCTAGGAAGTGCTGTAATGCTGCCACAGTTTGTGAGAGGAGGCCAGTCAGTTTTTCAGAGCTGTGACTGGCTCTAGGTTTTCTCTCCCCCTGCCCTCATTGACCAACCCCTCTCCAGGCAGCCTGCCCTTACTGCGGAGCAGGGCCTCTACCTGGGAGCTTCGCGTGCTCCCATCCCAGTCTGCCGCCTGGTCCTTCCTCAAGGGCCTGGGTCCTGCCTCAGGACAACTCCTTTTTGGAGCTGGCAGGGCCCATCCCCCCCTCCCCCCGGAGCCCCTGTGAGAGCATACATCCAAGTGCAGAAGTCTCTACTTGCTGAAGTCATATTCTACACCTAAATTTTGCAAAGGGCACTCCATTTTAAATTACTATTATGCTTTTGTTGTTAAAGGTTTTGATATTCTATGAGGAACTTCTCAATATGGTAAGTGGGAATGGCTTGTGTAGTTCCTGTTATTTTTAATTATTGCCATTTAGTTAAATCAGTACTGCATCTAAGTATACTAGTATAAAAATCATACTTTTAACCAGTGTACAAAGGCCGTACATAGATCAGCCCTAGATCTTTCCTTGGTCCCTGTTTCTCCAACTAGAAGTGTATTAGATTATGGTTTGTTTAAAGTCCTATTACTAGCAAAGCTGTACAGTTTGCAAGTGATGTAATTCTTTCACCACAGTAGTGTTAATTTATGTTGGGTTTCTTAAAAAGTTGAAGCAACAATATTGAGGCCTTGGACAGTTGAATCTTGGACAGCCACACGGTGGCACTGAAGGCCCATGAGCACTTACATGTCCATGAAGCACCATCTCCTGAGATCGTTAATCCTAGTATCATCACCTAATGATATCAGAGCACAAGGGTAAAAGCAGAGATTAGCCCCACATGCACTATTTGTAGCACACAACAAATAGTATTTAGATACCAAATATGCAACCATCTGTCATGTTACCACAAAGCAATGTCTGAAATGTAGTCACCTCTCTTGACACCCTGGGGAAGAAAAGACACAAGAGCTTTGTGAATAATTTAACCATAACAGTCATGCCCCTAAACCTTTGTAGTTTCACCATTTTTAACTTACAATAAATACAGGAACTACTGAGAAAACACTGTACTACAGTAACATCTAATTAGTTATCTTGGACAATAATAAAATTTAGTCAAAACCATTGTAGCTAGAACACAAAGGTAATATCCCCTGTGTATACATTATGCTTAAATGTAAAGTCTAAAATCATGATTTGTTTTTAGAGAGTCAAGATTTCTTCTAACAAGGTTAAAGGTTTCAGCACTAGTATCTATAATTGGCTTTATTTGTAGGCATGTAACATGCTTCCAAATAAAACGATGGCATGAAACAGTAATAAATGCATATGCTTTCAGTTTCAAAACAAGAGGCAAAAACTACACAATGCACAGTACAACTGACACTTTATTCCTTCGTGATGGGGATATATAGCATTGAAACTGCAAGAGTCACAAAAAAAGAAAATAATCAAAGTGCAAGCCTCTATTAGAACAGATTATGGAATGTATTGATGTTTTTGGCACAAAAACTGGGAACTAGATACTGCAACAAGATTTTAAGTTTAATGAAATGTAACACTTCTGTGTTCAGTAGTCATATTTGTGCACTGCAGAACAATACAATGTAAAACAGTGACTAACACGATTCACATGCAACTCTATACAAGTTACATCGTACATCCAGTTAAAACTCTTCTGAAAATACATGTGAGGTCCAATGATATGTTGTTCACAATCACTTAACAAATACCATTCTTTAAACAGTCTTTATCTTTTCAGCTTCCTTACTGATAAAAGCAAAACCAGAGAATCTTAAATAGTAAATTATTTTTCCCAAATACTTCCATGTGAATGTTGATGTTTTCTATCAAAGTAATTTGGCTCTGACTTCATTGATATAATATATAAGAAGCTGAATCAAAATCAAAAGCTCATTTTTTCCCCATATTTCATCCCCAGTTTTCTGTCAACAAGCAGCATTCTGTGCACTGACTTTTTTGTTTTTAAAATTGGATGTAGTGTTTTCTATGAGCTCTGTACCTATATCACATGGAAATCACCAAAACAACAAAAATCAGAGCACAGCTTCATTTAGTGGTATCTATTGAAGACTGAAAAGGCATGGAAAAGACAAAAAATGCAGAAATGGAAGAATTCAAGTTTATCTTCAAAGGTACAGTATGCGTTCACATTTTCATTGCAGAGAGAGACACTGTATTCACATTCTGGTGAAGAAAGAAACCCACATATCACAGCTCTCCCTAAACTCTTAGCAAAGATAACATCATGAAAGATCTGTAATGCATAGTGTAGCTCTTTCATTTGAACTGAGCTAAACTGATTTCTCAAAGGAAAAAAACAAAACAAAACAAAAACCTTTCATGAGTAATTCAAGCCCCATGGCTGAGCTATTAACCACGAGAACTTCTGCACTGGCCTGCTGTGTCATAGAGCTTGACAGTTGTTACCAAGTATTTATGTGGGCAGTTATTAGTGTTCAGTGTCTCATCTCCTTTTTTGGTTTAGGATTTTATTTTATTGTTTATATTAATCAAGGATGATGATTTATATCAGGCATTTGAGAAATGTTCTGGTGACAAGATGTACAGGATGCCCATTAAATGCATATGTATCACAGCAGAAATGTCCTCACAACCGAATTCTTCATTTGGGCAACAGAAAAAATAGCAAACAGCAAGAACAAGAAGCATTTGGCGTGATTTTATTTTTTAGTACCATACTGCAAATGCACAAACCGAAGTGCTTTTAGTGTTTTTGCTTTATAATGCCAGAATAAAGAATAATGCTAAAAGCAGAGGGGTGAGGGCATTTCCACTAACCAGCTTAGGTAACTTCTGACATCAGGCTAAGATGTAATTTAGAGCATCTGTGTTAGGAGGCTATGAAACCTACTGAGAACAACAGAGAGAAAGCAGGTGTGATTTAGAGCACCTAAATTCCGTGCCTGAAGTTAGACAGTTTGGATGCAACTTGAAATCATCACCTGAGGGAATTCGGGTCCCTCAGCCACACCCTAGCTCTTTCTGTATACCAACCCTGGAGCCAAGGAAATCTAAATAGCAATAGGTGAAAAACCAACCCCTCTGTCAACACAGATGATTCTCAGCTCTAAGACCCTGTCTCCACCCCCGCCCCCCCCTTCCCCCCCACCTTGGGGAGCCTGGGGAATTCATGGTTACCTATTCTATTGCTTTCAGGGACACAAGATACAACAATTTCCACCACAACTGTTTCCCTTTTCTGGAGTAATCCTAAAGAAGAGGAGTCACCCTTGCCACTCTCTGGATCTATAGCTCCGGTTAACAGTCATCCTTCCAGCTCAGAAGTCATTGCTCAGAGCCAAACTGTACCCCTCAGCTTCTTCCTGCTCCTGGCACATACTCAATGAGGGAGTGAGTTTAGGATAGTCCACCATGGGTTGGGATACTTCGGAGTGAACAGCAAAGAGGGAGGATTACAGAAAAAGAAGACTTAAGTAGGAGAACCGAGGCAACATCACTTGGAGTTAAAAGAGAAAAGTGCTCATCATGCCATAAACTAGAAATGAGAATCTGAGGAAGAGACACAGACAGGTGAAAGGGAAGAGAGGGTAGAAGCAAAAAAAAAAAAAAAAAAAAACAAAACACACCGAAAACCCCCCACAGTGTTTGAGAGATAAATTGAATGGATATCCCAGAGTCTACCACTGTCCCGGTGTAGCTGGATGCTCTGGCTCCCTAGTGAGAGGAGGGAAGAGGGACTGAAGGACATGAGTGGGGGCCAGGCACCAGAAGGTGCATGGACAGGTTGGGGGGATTCTGCTCTGGCTTTCTACAGCTCCCATGGCTGCAGAGGTTTTTAAGAGAGTAGTGCTTGCCTCCAGAATGTCACAGTTAAATACCGCAGGGTCACTTTTTGGCACAAAATCTTTATTTAATGTAGTCATTTTAAAATGCAAGATGCTTTATCAGATATTTAAAAAGCACCGAGGGAAGGTAGAATAAGAGATTCCCCACTGCAATGTTTGCATCCTTAGAGCCTGGGTCAGGCTTTAATGATGGTGCATGGGAATGGAGGAGTCAAAGGGGAAACATTAGGAAAACCCTTTGGGACAGCACAGAGCCATAAAAACAGTACTTGTACTCACTGTTTGGCTGGCTAAAGACTTCCTTTGGGACATGCTCTCTTTTCACATACATTATAGTTGCTCATCATTGGTCTCTCCCTCATGATACCTTGTGTCATCACAACATACAGCATGCCCACAAAGCATCAGATGTATTCTGGAAGCTGCCAGGAGGTTTCCTCCTCATTAGACACTGAGATGAAGTGAAAGAGACGCTGAGGAGTACCAACGGATATGAGTACCTATGTTTCCTCCTGTATGACTGCACAAAAAAGCACACAGGTTTCCAAAGGATATCCAAGCGTGCGCTCAGTTAATACTGTTTGTTTTCCTGCAGACCACAATGCCTGAGCTCCCCTGCTCGCTTCCTACTGTACCTTAACTACATGCCACAAGTGGTTCAGGAAAGGTGGAGGAGATGTCTAGGAAGTTGGTAACATGTTCAGACTATTTGTCAGTCTCTGGAGAGTTCCCACTACTGCCTCTGTTTGGGAATTTCTCCATCCTTAGTTTACAAATGATTTAAAAAGCAGCATGTGAATACAATGGTGTATGCTTTACTTTACTGTGGTGAAAAAAAGTATGACTCAGTGGGTAAACATGTTGTGGAATTTGTTACAAAAATTATACTTGTTTTAACTGAATACCACAGCAAATACTTATGCAATTAAAAAAAAAAAAAAAAAAAGATTGTTATTGTTCCAAGGAAAACTGCCCCAAGGGCAGAGAAAATACAAATGCCAATCTTTCAGGAAAAAATAGCTTCCCTTATTCATGAGCATAATCCAGGAATAGCTGTCCTTCAACTCCTTCTATCACCCTTTTCTTTTGAATTTTGCTAGTAAATGGCCTCCAAAAGAGGAGAAAACAGAAAGGATACATGGAAATAAATGTAAGACGTAAACAAAGAGATTTTAACCCCCCCATATTTTAGGTTACTTTTGTAGGTTTAACTTTTCCAAAAGCATATGAGTCTTTCATTTTTGTGGTCCAGGTGCTCCCTGGGACCTGGCCTGTTTAAAAACTCCTATTCCATTCTCACCAAATTGTATGTCGCAGCATTAGCAGTAAACTGGGACCTGAATGTGCAGGATGTACCTTGTGTGGCTGCACTACTCTCTCTTTTTCTGCCATTCAAGTCTCCCTGGCAGATATTGCCCTTGAAAACTCCTGTTGGAGGAAGTGCTTTCCAAAGCTGCTACCTGGTGTCTGAAGCTGATTCCAGTCACAGCTCTACCCAGCAGCAGCAGCGTGATCTGGCCGAGACAGTGAACACAGTCCATTGCCCACTGCTCCAGCTGGCGTACAGAAAGCTTCCCTACCACACAAGATACAAAGCTCACGAGCCCACTGAGTTTTCTTCAGTCCCCAACCCCAATAACTTGTATCACTGAAAGTAAAGAAGACTAAGGAAGGAAAAAAAGATGCAGAGCAAGAAATCAAGAGAAAAAAGATAGAAGAGAACAGTGTATAGACAACAGAGGTGCTTGAAATGTTGAGAATTAGTTGGGTTTTTGTAAAATTTTCACAGATATGTTAAATCACTAGAGCTAGGGATTAGCCATTACAATTGTCTTCTGCTAGCCCATGGGACTAACATACTTCAGAGTTATGTGCCCCCCAGCAAACTCTACATCCACCTTAAATACCATCTGCAAGGACATAATAAAAATACACAAAGCAAAAAATTTGTAAACAAGGGTTAGTAGCACAGTGGTACAGTAGATTGTCAATAAAAACAATAAAAGTGTGGATACAGATTCATCTACCTTGTGTGTAACATTATTGCCAGTTACAAGGGAGGAACTCTGTAAACTCATAATTCTGAAGTTTTGTTAATAAGCACAGAGCAACAGGTGAGTGACCCATCTACTTTCTCGAGTTCTGTGTTGGCTATTGGGATCAGCATGTGGTCCTTCAGTTTTTCAAATACCTGTTTAGGAAAGAAAATGGAACAGAAATCATTGCACTTTATGCCCCTCTCTTTTCCCTTTTCTCTAACTATTTACAGAATGAACAGGCATGGATTTATCAGAGAGTGCTAAGCTGTCTTGTCATTTGTAATCAGCACTAACATTTACAGTGTACATGGCCTTCCGGCTACAGGATTCACGCACATCAATACTGCAGTCACAGAAACTGTTGCTACATCCAGTTACGCACAAGAAGCACCAGGGGCACAAGATACAGAGTAATTAAATCAGTAGTGGAGATGAGAACAGAGCCCCGGCCTCCCACCTTTCACCATCTGATATCTCCATGATGGATACAACAGCCCATTCCAGAAAGTATCCGATTTCAATTCCCACTGACTTCCCGGTGAGACCGGGATGCTGGGGGTCCAGGCACCCTCAGCAGGGCTCTCACCTTTGCACTCTCCGGGTACTCCTCAGGAGCTCGGTGCAGCAGGACATGGCCTTTGCTGGGAATGTTTAAGTAGATGCAGTTTGCTGCGGCATCATCGGGCACCGTCAGCTTGTCGTAGCGGTGGTCGCTCATCTGTTGCATGGTCTGCCAGGAGACACAAAGCACAGCTATTTAGACCAAACACATTAGCAGCCCCAACAAATGGGAGAACAGAACCTTCAAAAAATAGCTAAATGTGATTGCCAAGTCAGCCAAGGGCTATTTTGCTATGCAGCGAGTAAGGCGATCTGTTTTCATCTCTGCCCTTCAGGGAAGAATCTACTAACCCTAACTGAAATGAGCAGTAGAAAACCCTTGTGAAATGGTTCCTGCGAGCAGCAGGATTAAGCAGGCCACTCAGGAAGTGTCCTCTGTGGGGTCTTTTCCTCAAGGAACGCACACTGAGTACGCAAAACTCCTGCTCACATTGATGGAAACTATAGGTGCTCAGCACCTTCAAAAAAAGCAGCTATCATTCAATATTTATAAAATGAGCATGAATTAACACAAACAGGACAGGAACAGTTCCAAGCTTGGATATCAGCCCAATCTTAATTCTTTTCAAGGACCTCCTTTCTGCTTTCCAAGCAGTTACTCTTTCACTAAGCACCTGTGCTGGGGGGAGTGAGAAGGCACGTCTGTGCTAATCCTCGTTCCCAAGGGGACAACACAATAACCTCCTCGGAACACTAGAGCTGGTGAGTTTCAGAGGTTTGGTTATAAATATAGGGCTCATATACAAATTTGGATCCTGGCTGGAATTTCAGAGACAGAGACACTAAGCACACGAGAAGCCTGAGACCCCACATTCTGGATGAGGCTCAACTTTTTAATAAAGATGGGAAAAGCCTGGAGACAAGGCACCCGACTCCCCATTGTACCGTTCCAGCTTTACATCAGCTTCACCCTGACAGAGACTGAGAATAACACAGAAGTGAACAAAGCTCTAAGTCAGAAACTTTGGTCCTACTGAAAACCTAAGCAAATGCAAGCATTTCAGTTTCTCTCCTAGCCCCGTTATGCTCCCACATACATTGCAAAGATGCAAACAGAAAGAAAAGGCTTTTTTTCATCTTTAAAATACCCACACTAATATTATCTTAAAAACAAACTGGTATTCTGTTAACAAAATTTTTCAACTGAATTCCCTTCTCAGGGAAACACCACAGAATTACATTGCACAGCAGAGAGCAGACTTTAATTTTAGTCACAGTTAGGTTTATTGCTAATTTATTTGCAAGGTCATTAATTTGTACTACTCATTCATAAAAAAAATACTATAATTCATTTCTATATAATAAGGATCTACAACATATTGGGAAGCAACAAAGCAACTCACGCTTGCACACACCTACAGTAATTCCTTTATAGGTTTAGATAAATTTTTCATGTTGTAGCCTGAGTCATCCACATCCCACAGAGAACATGAAATTCACAACCAAGAATGCCATGCATTCTTGAGGAAGTGTTATCAGATTGTCATTTCTTGTTCATTTTGAAGTTATGAAACTCTTCCAAGTTCCCAAGGTCACATCTACCTCCATAAAAGGTTAATGTGTTTTTCTGGGGAAAAAATCCTTGCACCTTTACTTCACCGGATATATTTTTATTACTGTGCTTACCATGGTTGACTTTCCTATGTATAATTTGTTTCTGTTACGTTGCCAAGATATATTTTATTATGCTTTCCTTGATGTTGCAGACATCTAGCAGCAGGTGACATGCTCGCACACAGTGCAACTCTTCTCCCTGGTAACCAGAGCCAGCAGACTCATCCTCTACCTGCAGCTTCTCTTTTCTCCCCTACATAATATTTTTAAGTCTCAATTAAGGAAACATATTTATTAAATCTGCACTAAAATATAGAGGAAAAGCCACCGTGCCTGGATTTCACTCAGCTTCCAACAGTCATGCTTTCTCCAGTCCTTGTTGGTAACAGAATCCTGATATTGTAGGTTTTCTGTAGGAACAGCTCATTCATCAGAAATATATTGTGAATCACTGTGAAACATTTCCATATGAAATTACAAATGAATTCTTAAACAGAAGGCTTATGCAAAGTGCTGAAGTGAGAACAGCAGCAGCAAACAGAAATGAAAAACAAGTGGCAGGGCTCTAGCTGTGCCTCAGGAACCTGCTTTGGGAAGCTTGGGAGACGATGGCAAGGGCACGTCAGGAGGATTATTTTCAAGAGCAAATAGCATATAAGTGGTGGCTGAATTATTTCAGAAACAAATGAGAAAAAATGAGTGGGAAAGTGAGATAGATGAGGCAGCACAGGAGTTTGAGTACACAGCCGCAACAGTGGGAATGGGATCTCAGCTAGCTTGAAGAACACCACAAAGAAAGCGTTTATTTATAACGGGAGGTTTGGTAATACAAGGTTACTCTCTTCCCTGGCTATTAAGAAGGAAATCATGTTTGCAAGCTTTTGTCACTGTTACAACTACGCATGTATGTTGGAGTAAAATCTCAAAAGCCACTTTCTTGAGAGAGCGCCTAGGCAATAAGAACCAAATCTGCCCCATAGGGAGGTTCTGGATGCAGCAGAAACACACCAATACAACGCAATCTGGTTATTTTAAAGACCCATGGGGTTTTCCATATTTCTATTATGCCAAGCCACTGAGCACATATGCCTAGCCAGATAGGACTCTAGGGCAGAGAAAAAGATAAAAGCAAGGTCCTTTGATTGTTATTTTCTATCGGATACACCCTCAAAATATCTATTTTTTTTGGAAATGACAAGTTTATGAAGACTATAGGACTCGCACAATGTGTTTGCAGAGGGCTGGCTTTCTGCCCACAAATGTCGTATGACCATCTACACTAAGGGCCAGGCATTTCCCGCATGCCTAGTTTTTCTGGGAATTTTCTTCAGCCTGAAGAGGGTAATTTTCATTGCGCATTCTCTCAGCCCTTAGTCATGCTTTCCTTACATTGAAGTCATTCGCATAGCCTAAAATGCCTTTTCTATAGTTTTTTTTTTTTTTTTTTACAGTGTGTCCTCAGACAACTGAGGTAATGGATAAGCTAAATAATCCTAAATATGAAGCAGCATTATGCATGAAGGAAAAATGCGTATGTGTTTAGGGCCTATTATCACTGACAGAGTTAAGATGACTGCATGCACTTTTAAAACAGGCCAAACCTAGTTACAAATTTTCCCTCTCCATGAGGAAGGCCCCAGTCTGAGCCCTGCCGCCATCTGGGAGCTACTCGCATCCAGATTGCTGCAGGACAAACAGCACCAAATCCACCACACCTGCAACATGCCCTTGTATCTCCAACACCCCACAAGCAAAACCAAACACAGTGAATGTTCCTCTTGCTAACATGGCAATGAACACTACACTTAAAAATGCCCATGTCAAGTTGATAGAGAAGCAGAAGCACAGATTTTCAGGGTTTGATTTTTGTTTTGATTAGCCCCTGCTCCCCTGGTCCCCAACATTTAAAAGGAAAAATCGTACCGTGGCAAGGCCAAGTCAAATGCATGCAACCCTACACCCACAGGATCATTCCCTCACCAGACTTCAGCTACCCTTTCCTAAGTCCTTCAAGTCACATTATTCTTAAAAGAAAACTATTCACTTCAAACTATTTACAATAATTTTTCCATCCCATCTCTTTTCCTTCTTTCTAAGCACATTAAAGTTTGTCCTGTTCTACACTGATGCTTAAGCAACATTTGGCCTGGGGTACAGAGCAAACGAATATTTTAATCCAAGAGATTGTAAATTGTGAGAAGATTAAGATACCTCAAGATTTTTCCTACAACGATTAAAATTAAATATTTTTGTGGTGCAGGACAACTAACACTGATGAGAAGAGTAACTGAGCAATACGCAGCCAGAAGTCACATCCCCCCAGGTTGCCTGGGAGTTTGGAAGGACAGCATGCTTCTTGTCTGCTTGGAGGAAGGACCACTTGTCTGGGAAGAACGTCATGCTGATGCCCTTACACACTTAGGGCAAAAGATGAGGACAGGCACCTGGCCAGTACATTGGCATGTGGAGGGAAGATTGACAGAGAAAGGTAAATTATTGCTTGCTACCTGGAAAATAATAGTGATACCAAGCCTCTAATTTTTTAATGCTTGCAGAACCTGGAAGAGCTTCTTTTTTTAATGCTGCATGATGGGGTTCTCCAGCCCCATGTGAGAGGTGACAATATCCCACTTCTGGATCCTAAGACAGGGAATGAAGGTGACCGAGATTTGGTGTGTGGTGCCCAGGAACCTCAACTCATCAGCTGTCATACAGAGCAATATGACCTACAGCACTGCCCCAGGAGTCTGTCCAGTTCACTTTTGAACCTGTCGCAAGGTAGCTTCAGAGTTCAGACACATATTGTGTGAGGAAGCATTTCTTTTCCTTTCTTTCTTGAACTTGCCCTTTGCCTTTAGAGCTTCCCTGGTTCTTTCACTGGAAGGTACAGGGAACAATTGATCTCCAGTCACCTTTTCCACATCATTCCTGATTTTATAGGCACCTATAATCCCATTTTAGTTTTCTCTTTTCCAGGTTATAGTCACAGCTAGCTTAGTTTGTCTCCCTGGGCAAGCTGTTCCCGGTATCTGTCCATCCTTATTGCACTTTTCAGATTCTTTCCAGTTCTCCTCTACCTTTTTTGGAATGAAGAAATTGTGCATACAAAGTGCACAACAGCCAACATGAAAATGCACCACAGCTTTAATCAGTGGCATAATGATGTTCTCCATTTGGTTTTCAGCTGAGTTGGCAATTTCAACAAGCCCAGGATCCTATTTCTGTGGTAATCATCAGTCAGAGCACATTATTTCATATGTGATGTTCACATTGTCACTCTCCCTGTTCCTGATACACATCACTTTATACTTATCTACACTGAATTTCATTAATTGTTTTATTGCTCTGTCTCTATTAAGTTCCCTCATCACTTCTTCATATTTGGACAGACAATTGCCACTGGAGAGAGAAAGCAGCAGCCCTAGGGTTCAACACAAGGAAGTGCAGGACAGAGTGGGGCTGGCAATGCCACAGGTCCACCCACCTGGGTGCAGGCACTCAGCCTACCATACAAACCATGCTACTCAACAGCTTCTCAGAGTTTCCTTGAAATAC